TGAGGGCAATGTGTGGTGTGAATATAATGCAGAGAATTCGTAGTTTGGAAGTTAGGAGGAGGTGCGGGATTACCAAAACTGTTGTCCAGAGGGCTGAGGAAGGGTTGTTGAGGTGGTTCGGACATGTAGAGAGAATGGAGCGAAACAGAATGACTTCAAGAGTGTATCAGTCTGTAGTGGAAGGAAGGCGGGGTAGGGGTCGGCCTAGGAAAGGTTGGAGGGAGGGGGTAAAGGAGGTTTTGTGTGCGAGGGGCTTGGACTTCCAGCAGGCGTGCGTGAGCGTGTTTGATAGGAGTGAATGGAGACGAATGGTTTTTAATACTTGACGTGCTGTTGGAGTGTGAGCAAAGTAACATTTATGAAGGGGTTCAGGGAAACCGGCAGGCCGGACTTGAGTCCTGGAGATGGGAAGTACAGTGCCTGGACTCTGAAGGAGGGGTGTTAATGTTGCAGTTTAAAAACTGTAGTGTAAAGCACCCTTCTGGCAAGACAGTGATGGAGTGAATGATGGTGAAAGTTTTTTTTTTCGGGCCACCCTGCCTTGGTGGGAATCGGCCAGTGTGATAATAAAAAAATAATAATATTGTATACAAAAGAAACTATATTTGAACTAGTTGGAAAGTGATCTTGGGAAATGTAGCGTATTTCACGGCTTATAAGGCTTGCTTTAGTTTCAATGGCTCGACATTGGAAGTAACTGTGAGAGCTACAGCCCACCCCACACCCCAAATGTATAGCTCCTGTCACTGACCTTCAGTTTATAGGATGCAGGGTGGTTTTTGGAGACATTTTATGAAAAAAATTGTCTAATAAGTCGCGAAATACGGTAACTAAAGTATACTATGCAGATCTTAGTGTGGGTTTAGAGATGCAGTTTTACATTGCTCTCAACCCCTGCACTATCCCCGTTCCCGCTGCACTGTATGACCTAATAATAATCCCCCTCCCTCCTGCTACCCAGTACCCCTGCACCCTTCCCAGCCCTACTGCACTATATGACCCTTGTAGGTTTAGCACTTCATTTTTTATTATAATAATTACATTGCTGCTTGATGATCATAATGATGATAATGACGACAGTGACACAATGTGCAGATTATGGCACTTTATTTGAAGACATTTTGTCCACCAGGGACTTATCAAGATACACAAATACCAGGCAGTTACTTAGTGTGAAAAGGTAGTGACTTGTTGAATATCTTTAATAGATTCAGGGAAAACCAGTTAACTGGACTTGAGTCCTGGTGAGAAGACCAGTTCCTACACCGAAAGATGGGTAGGGATGTTGCAGTCGGAGATTAGTCTTTTATGTTAGTTCACTTCTGGAGAGACAGCAGTTGAATGAATGATGTCTAATGTGTTTTCTTCTTTGGGTCACCCTACCTTTGCAAGAGATGGCTGTTGAGCTAAAAAAAAAAAAAATATTTAATAGTATCTAGCAGACACTACACCCCTTTTTTCCCTTATGGAAATGGAGAGTTGAATATTGATGATTAAAATTTATTCTTATTTCTACGTTGGAAAATGAAAATTCTAATTAGCTAGTTTGCAAAATTATAAAATATACTTTTACATTTTTCAAATTTGACAAATTACCTTCAAAATAGAAGTTTTTCCCCCAAGGTAAGAGTTGTTTTCAAGTTGAAATCTCCTCACGGACTTTAGAGTCCTGGAGGTGGGAAGTATGGTGCCTGCACTTTAAAGGATGAGTTTGGGATATTTGCTGTTTGGCATGACATCTGAACTGTTGTATCTGTGCACCTCTAGCAAGGCAGTGATAATGTGAATGATTGAGAAAGGGTTTCTTTTTCGGGTCGCCCTGCCTTCATGGGAAATGGCCAGTGCATTAAAAAAAAAAAAGTACAAATACAGTGATTAGTCTCCTGCCTGTCACATGTGAGACGGGTTTGATTCCCCACTGGGGAGCAATAATATTGGATATCAGATTGGAGGGAGTGAGTTTGGAGGAAGTGAATGTATTCAGATATTTGGGAGTGGACTTATCACCAGATGGGTCTGAAGATGAGGTGTATCATAGAATTGATGAGGAGAAAAAGGTGAGTGGTGCATTGAGGAGTCTTTGGAAACAAGGCTCATTATCCATGGAAGCAAAAAGGGGAATGTGTGAGAGTATAGTTATGCCAGTGCTCTTATATGGGTGTGAAACATGGATGGTGAATGTTGCAACAAGGAGAAGGCTGGAGGCAGTGGAGATGTCATGTCTGAGGGCTATGTGTGGTGTAAATATAATGCAAAGAATCCATTACTTGGAGATTAGACAGAGGTGCAGGGTTTCTGAAAGTATTATCCAGAGGGCTGAGGAAGGGTTGTTGAGGTGGTTCAGACATTTAGAGAGAATGGAATGAAAAAGAATGACCTAGAGAGCATATAAATTTGTAGTGGATGGAAAGCAGGGTAGGGGTAAGCCTAGGAAAGATTGGAGGGAGGAGGTAAAGGAGGTTTTGTGTGCAAGGGGCTTGGATTTCCAGCAGGCATGCGTGTGTTAGACAGGAGTGAGTGGCTGCAAATGGTTTTTATGACTTGTTGTGCTCTTGGGGTGTTAACAAAGTAATATTTATGAAGGGATTCAGGGAAACTGGCAAGCGTGACTTGAATCCTGAAGGCAAGAAGTGCCTACTTTCCGAAGGAGGGATGGATATATGTTGCAGTTTTTGAACCACAGCATAGACATACTTCGGGAGTATGGAAGAAGTGAATGTTTTCAGATATTTGGGAGTTGACATGTCAGCGGATGGGTTTATGAAGGATGAGGTTAACCATGGAATTGATGAAGGAAAAAAGGTGAGTGGTGCATTGAGGTATATGTGGAGACAAAAAACGTTATCTGTGGAGGCAAAGAAGGGAATGTATGAAAGAATAGTGTACCAACTCTCTTATATGGGTGTGAAGCTTGGGTTGTAAATGCTGCAGCGAGGAAGCGGTTGGAGGCAGTGGAGATGTCTTGTCTAAGGGCAATGTGTGGTGTAAATATTATGCAGAAAATTTGGAGTGTGGAAATTAGGAGGTGTGGAGTTAATAAAAGTAGTATTAGTCAGAGGGCTGAAGAGGGGTTGTTGAGGTGGCCTAGTCATTTAGAGAGAATGGATCAAAGTAGAATGACATGAAGAGCCTATAAATCTGTAGGGGAAGGAAGGTGGGGAAGGGATCGTCCTTGAAAAGGTTGGAGGGAGGAGGTAAAGGAGGTTTTGTGGGCGAGGGGCTTGGATTTCCAGCAGGTGTGCATGACCGTGTTAGATAAGAGTGAATGGAGATGAATGGTTTTTGGGACCTGACTAGCTGTTGGAGTGTGAGCAGGGTAATATTTAGTGAAGGGATTCAGGAAAACTGGTTATTTTTATATAGCCGGACTTGAGTCCTGGAAATGGGAAGTACAATGCCTGCACTTTAAAGGAGGAGTTTGGGATATTGGCAGCTTGGAGGGATTTGTTATATATCTTTATAAATGCTTCTAAACTGTTGTATCTGGGCACTTCTGCATAAACAGTGATTATGTATGAGTGAGGTAAAAGTGTTGAATGATGATGAAAATATTTTCTTTTTGGGGATTTTCTTTCTTTTTCGGTCATCTTGCCTCAGTGGGAGTCGGCCAACTTTTTTTTTATTATTATTATCACACTGGCCTATTCCCACCAAGGCAGGGTGGCCTGAAAAAGAAAAACTTTCACCATCATTCACTCCATCACTGTCTTGCCAGAAGGGTGCTTTACACTACAGTTTTTAAACTGCAACATTAATACCCCTCCTTCAGAGTGCAGGCACTGTACTTCCCATCTCCAGGACTCAAGTCCGGCCTGCCGGTTTCCCTGAACCCCTTCATAAATGTTGCTTTGCTCACACTCCAACAGCACGTAAAGTATTAAAAACCATTTGTCTCCATTCACTCCTATCAAACACACTCACGCATGCCTGCTGGAAGTCCAAGCCCCTCACACACAAAACCTCCTTTACCCCCTCCCTCCAACCTTTCCTAGGCCGACCCCTACCCTGCCTTCCTTCCACTACAGACTGATACACTCTAGAAGTCACTCTGTTTCGCTCAATTCTCTCTACATGTCCGAACCACCTCAACAACCCTTCCTCAGCCCTCTGGACAACAGTTTTGGTAATCCCGCACCTCCTCCTAACTTCCAAACTACGAATTCTCTGCATTATATTCACACCACACATTGCCCTCAGACATGACATCTCCACTGCCTCCAGCCTTCTCCTCGCTGCAACATTCATCACCCATGCTTCACACCCATATAAGAGTGTTGGTAAAACTATACTCTCATACATTCCCCTCTTTGCCTCCAAGGACAAAGTTCTTTGTCTCCACAGACTCCTAAGTGCACCACTCACCCTTTTCCCCTCATCAATTCTATGATTCACCTCATCTTTCATAGACCCATCTGCTGACACGTCCACTCCCAAATATCTGAATACATTCACCTCCTCTATACTCTCTCCCTCCAATCTGCCAACTTGTTGGAAAAAAACAAATGTTTACATGCAAATGAACTAAGTTTCACACATCCACACAAGCAAGCACTTAGGAACCAATTGAGGTTTTTATAACCAGTGAGCCACAATACCTACATATGTGAAACAACCTTTGTACTGTTCTCTACACACATGACTCACTTGTAAGTTCAAAAAGAGGAACACTACTTATATCACAGAATAAGTGGGACAATCCATGGCTGAGCAGTTAACACACTGGCCTGTGTGGTTTAGGACTGCTTTCCCTGGGTTCAAACCCCACCCATTTGTGATTTGTTTGTAATTGTGTTATGATTTCATGAGTCTGGAACACCTTTCTTTAGTGCAGTTTGTGACTGTTTATACATTTAAATTGGCTTTGACATGTAACTGTGAATTTATTTCTTTTAGATTTGATTATCTTGTACTTTATTGAGAACTTCTGTTAGTAGAGATTTGTTGAAAACTGTGAATGTATTCTAAATTTTGTAGTATTCTATATCATATTTGTGTTTCAGGTCGGTGTTGCCTGTACGTAATTACATCTGCTGTCACTGCTTCTTGGCATACCTCCGACCTTATTTCTACGTCTTCCTGGGCACAATTGCTTCAACTCTGGTGTATTTCCGTCTAGAGCGACCGTCCGCCGTTAAGAAGCAGTTATCTCGTCGACATTCCACAGTGGTTATCCAGGTTAATAATAATAAAATAAAATTTATAAAAATAATAAGATTTTATAATCAAAAACACATTCAGCTTCATTATATTTTGAAGCATTTCACAAATAATTTACATAATCGCCTAACTGGGATAATTTAATATCAATAAAGGGCTCTTGATTCAAAAAATTAGAGCTATCCTTCCCTTCCTTGGATGAAATCTGATTACCCCCCAGTCCCCAAGGGTTGATTGATTCCTCCTGCTTTAACACTTCCTTATGAATATTCAGTAATCCCACCGGTTAAATTTACTTTCAACTCTAATTTTCGGTGTTCATTGTAGTGTATCTGTGATTTTTGTGTACTGTAAAGTACAGGAAGGTGCCATTTTTACAGCTGTTAGGTTCCCAACTCCCACTGATAAGCAGAAATCATGGACAGGTGGAAAAGATATTTTTTTCATTATCAAATGCCTCTAAAAAATACATGATAACATGTTTACAGGGATATGTTGTGTATCTTTATACCTATATGCTTCTAAACTGTTGTATTCTGAGCACCTCTGCAAAAGCAGTGATAATGTGTGAGTGTGGTGAAAGTGTTGAATGATGAAAGTATTTTCTTTTTGGGGATTTTCTTTCTTTTTTGGGTCACCCTGCCTCGGTGGGAGACGACCGACTTGTTGAAAAAAAAAAAAATGTTTACACTATTATTATATTAAGTGCTGAATACAGCTAGGCATAAAAATAGATACAAAAGTAAAATAAATATATAGTACAGGAAGTCCTCAACTTACAAAAACACTGGGGACCTCCTGAATTATGTATAATATTCATAATACAGAAAGTCTTCAACTTATGAACATGTTGGGGACCTTGTATATTGTGTATAATAATGATAATACAGTGGTCCCTCGATAATCGTAAGGCTCAATAGTCGTAATTTTCGATAATCGTAACGTTATTTTCGTCAAAATATTGGCTCGCGAATCGTCGTTTGACTCGCACATTGTTGTTCGTCCGGGACACGTACTCATGGCTTCGAGCCGCCTCGCCCTCCCTTCCCAGCCAGTGTGCCATTGTTAACCAGTGAGTGACGGTCCCCTCACTTATTCATACGAAATATTTCATAATACGTATTCCATTCATTTAGTGCTTGCAACTGCTAAATAAGCTACCATGGCTCCAAAGATAGCTCCTAGTGCCAGGCCTTTGGTAAAGAAGGTGAGAAATACAATTGAATTCAAGAAAAAATAATTGAACAATATGAAAGTGGCGTACGTGTTGCCGAACTGGCCAGAATGTATAACAAACCCCATACAACCATAGCTTCCATCGTGGGCAAGAAAAAGGAAATCAAGGAAGCTGTTGTTGCAAAGGGGGTAAATATGCTGATGAAAATGAGATCACCAGTATTCGAAGATGCTGAGAAGTTATTGTTGGTGTGGATCAAAGAGAAACAGTTAGCAGGAGATAGTCTTATGCAGTCAATTATTTGTGAAAAGGCTAGGCAGTTGCATGACAGTCTCGTAAAGAAATTGCCTGCAACGAGTACTGATATTGGTGAATTTAAGGCCAGCAAAGGCTGGTTTGAGAGATTTAGACCTTTCAGGGTTTCGGACGTACTAGTATGGCTTACGCACCAGGGTTTTTGATGCCTAAATTCTAGCGCCCTCAGATCTAGTGAGAGAAAGCTGGTAGGCCTACATATGAAAGAATGGGTCTATGTGGTCAGTGTGCGCAGTATAAAAAAAATCCTGCAGCACACAGTGCGTAATGAGGAAAAAAGAACTTTGATTGTGTTTTTGGATTAAAACAGCGACTTTGCACTGTATTTTCGTATGGTATTTATTGTTGTATTCTAGTTTTCCTGGTCTCATTTCATAGAATGGAAGACATATTGCAGAAATTAAGATGATTTTGACTGGTTTTACAGTGAAAAGTACCTTGAAATTGAGCTCAAAGAGGCAGAAATATTCGATTTTTATCAAAGTTCAAAAGTAAACAAATCATGCTAAGTGTCCAATACACGTCAACTGGCGAGTCTAATATTCTTTCACAAGTGCGCCGATATTATTTATACCATTTCTACACTAATGCAGTAGTCTGCATAACAGTAAATCTTATTTTTTTGTAAGAATAAAAATTCAAAGTGGAAAGCCAAAGAAATATAAGAGGGGCCTGGGGATATGACTAACGAACAGAGAACTTGTTATTTTAGTGCCAGGAATGTCTTTCTTGTTTATTCTGGACCCTATTCGGAAATTGGTATCTTTTGAAATTTGTGCGAAATTGGCAAAATTGCTGAATTCTGACCACTTTATTGGATAATTGAAATCGGTAAATGAGTGGTTTCTTGTACGCATTCGATAGAAAAAATGGAGTTTTAGCGAAATAGTTATGATTTTTGTCGACTAGTACACCGGAATTAGCTTAAAATAGGGCTCAAATTGGGCAAAATCGCCGATGCGTAAACATCGTCAAGACCGCTAACTTTGCAAGAGCATAATTCCGTAAGTTTTCCATCAAATTTCATACTTTTGGTGTCATTATGATCGAGAAAAGATTCTCTATCTTTTCATAAGATTTTTTTTTTTTTTTTTTTTTTTTTTTTTTTTTTTTTTTTTTTTTTCAAATTTGGCCGACCCTGAGAACAAGTCTTTCAAAGGACCTGTCGACCCCCAAAGGGTTAAAGTGCAGGCATTGTATTTCCCATTTCCAGTACTCAAGTCCGGCTATGTAAAAATAACCGGTTTCCCTGAATCCCTTCACTAAATATTACCCTGCTTACACTCCAACAGCTCATCAGATCCCAAAAACCATTCGTCTTCATTCACTCCTATCAACCATGCTCACACGCACTTGCTGGAAGTCCAAGCCCCTCACCCACAAAACCTCTTTTACCCCCTCCCTCCAACCTTTTTAAGGACGACCCGTACCCCGCCTTCCTTTCCCTACAGATTTATACGTTCTCCATATCATTCTGCTTTGATCCATTCTCTCTAAATGACCAAACCACCTCAACAACCCCTCTTCAGACCCCTGACTAATACTTTTATTAACTCCACAACTTCTTTTAATTTCCACACTCCACGCATTCCCCTTAGACAAGACATCTCCACTGCCTCCAACCGCTTCCTCGCTGCAGCATTTACAACCCAAGCTTCACACCCATATAAGAGAGTTGGTACCACTATACTTTCATATATTCCCTTCTTTGCCTCCATAGGTAATGGTTTTTTGTCTCCACATATACCTCAACACACCACTCGCCTTTTTTCCTTCATCAATTCTATGGTTAACCTCATCCTTCATAAACCCATCCGCTGACATGTCATATCCCAAATATCTGAAGACATTCATTTCTTCCATACTCCCTCTCTCCAGCGTGATATCCCATTATTCTTCATCTAAATCATTTGATACCCTCATCACCTTACTCTTACCTATGTTCACTTTCAACTTTCTACCTTTACACACCCTCCCAAACTCGTCCACAAACCTTGGCAACTTTTCTTTAGAATCTCCCATAAGTACAGTATCATCAGCAAAAAGTAACTGTGTCAACTCCCATTTTGTATTTGATTCCCCATAATTTAATCCCACCCCTCTCCCCAACACTATAGCATTTACTTTTATGACCCCATCTTTTTTCTTTCTTTCAACACACCGGGCATATCCCACTGAGGCGGGGTGGCCCAAAAGGAAAAACAAAAGTTTCTCCATTTACATTAGTAATATATACAGGAGAAGGGGTTACTAGCCCCTTGCTCCTGACATTTTAGTCGCCTTTTACAACACACATGGCTTACGGAGGAAGAATTCTGTTCCACTTCCCCATGGAGGTAAGAGGAAATAAACAAGGACAAGAACTAAAAGAAAGCCCAGAGGGGTGTGTATATATATGTTTGTACATGTATGTGTAGTGTGACCTAAGTGTAAGTAGAAGTAGCAAGACATACCTGAAATCTTGCATGTTTATGAGACAGAAAAAAAATGGACACCAGCAATCCTATCATGTAGAACATTTACAGGCTTTCGTTTTACACTCACTTGGCAGGACGGTAGTACCTCCCTGGGCAGTTGATGTCTACCAACCTACTTCCTTTAACCCCATCTATAAATATATTAAACAACCATGGTGACATTACACATCCCTGTCTAAGTCCTACTTTACTGGGAAGTAATCTCCCTCTCCTCTACACACCCTAACCTGAGCCTCACTGTTCTCATAAAAACTCTTTACAGCATTTAGTAACTTACTACCTATTCCATATACTTGTAACATCTGCCACATTGCTCCCCTACCCACTCTATCAAGTGCCTTTTCTAAATCTATAAATGCAGTGAAAACTTCCCTACCTTTATCTAAATGCTGTTCACATATACGCTTCAAAGTAAACACTTGATCTACACATCCTCTACCCACTCTAAAGCCTCCTTGCTCATCTGCAATCCTACTCATTGTCTTCCCTCTACTTTTTTCAGTAATAGCCCTACCTTACACTTTACCTAGTATACTCTGTAAACTTCTTTAAACATTCCAGCCGTATCCCACTGAGGTGGGGAGGCCCAAAAGGAAAAACGAGAGCTTCGCCTAATATATATACAGGAGAAGGGGTTACTAGCCCCTTGCTCTCGGCATTTTAGTCGCCTCTTACGACACGCATGGCTTACGGAGGAAGAATTCCGTTCCACTTCCCCATGGAGAACTCTCTAAACTTATTCCTCTATAATTTTTACAATCTCTTTTGTCCCCCTTCCCTTTATATTAGGAACTATACAAGCTCTCTGCCAGTCAATAGGTACCTTCCCTTCTTTCATACATTTATTTAACAAAAATACCAACCACTCCAACACACTATCCCCCCCTGCTTTTAACATTTCTGTCGTTATCCTATCAGTTCCAGCTGCTTTACCCCCTTTCATTCTATGTAATGCCTCACGCACCTCCCTCACACTCGCATCCTGCTCTTCTTTACTCTCCTAAAAGATGTTATACCCCCCTGACCATTGCATGAAATTACTGTCTCCC